AGAGCATAAAGAGGGAGGGTGTAAAGGACACTCTTAAGCAAAGTGAGTCTACCCCCATTAGAAAGGAAAGTATTTCTCCAGTCATTAATTTTCGCCTTAATTTTATCAACAATATCATCCATCCGAGTTTGTCTCTTTCTACCCCGTAAAAGATTGACTCCCAAATATTTTAGAGGAAGGTAGGTTACTTGACATCCAGTGAAGGTAGCAGCTCAGGAGAGGAAGGTAGGCCACTTGACATCCAGTGAAGGTAGCAGCCTAGGAGGTGTGGGTGGTGCTAAAATACTTGCTAAAATATAGCTGACATTTGGACTTGTTAAAGGTTAATCCAGAAGTATTTTAAAATATATTTAAGGTTTGCATCAAACTTTTAAAAGCAGTCTTACTGGCATTGGAAAAGAGGATAGCGTCGTCAGCATAAGCAAGGTGGCTAACTATCAGCTTAAATTTATGCATAAATTGAGTGTGAGGGTGTAACAGCTGCATTTGATTCATAAGGCGAGAGAGATAATCAAAAGCAAGGATGAAAATCGTAGGTGAGAGAGGGTCACCTTGTTTAATACCCTTGAAGGAGGGGAAAAACCAAAGGATTTCCCATTAGTCAGAACACTGTAATGATTTAGTTCAAGCCATCTTTTGATGATACAACAAAAGTTTGTAAAGAAACCGCGGGCCCGAAGAATACTCAAAATAAATTCCCAGTTAATGGTATCAAAAGCTTTCCTGGTATCAAGCTTAAACACCACATTCCCACCTCTAGACTTTTTATCAAGATCCTCGATAATTTCTTGAACAAGGAGGATATTATCTGATATTTCCCTACCTTGAACGAAAGCAGACTGGTGCGGAGAGATAATTTTTGACAAATGAGGTTGAAGCCCAGCAATAATAATTTTACTAATCACCTTAGAGAGGACAGAAGTTAGAGAGATGGGGCGGAAGTTATCCCAACTGATTTTATCATTGCCAGGGATAAGCACAATTTGCCTTTAGGGATAAGCACAATTAAAGAGGAAGTGAAATATTTTCTTGGATTTTCCCCCAAAAAGTAGCATTGAATGGCATTCATCGCCTCTTTTTTAATGATATCCTAACATTTAATATAAAAGGTGGATGTGAAACCATCAGGCCCAAGTGCCTTATTAGGATTAATACTCTTAAGCGCAACAAGGACTTCATCTTCAGTAGGAACATCAGACAGATAGAGAGAAGAGACATAATCTCTTTCCTCATTGAAGACAATCCCCATCCATAGGAAAAACCGAAGCCTAAAGCTGGAATAAGTTTATGAAATGTTGGACCGTGCTGTTACCAATACCACAGGATCAGTAAGGATATCACCATCGAACGAGTTAATCTTTGGGATAGTATTCAAATTATGTCTATGTTTAATAGAGGCATGAAAAAAGGAAGTGTTTATATCCCCGCAAGCAAAATAAGTGTCATTAGCTTTTTGTTTAAGGAGACCTTCCTCTAAATCAATAGCTTCAAGAAGGGAAGCATGAGCCTGAGCCACATTGCTAGCCCATTGAGGAGTGCAACAATCTTCAGCTTCTAGCAAATCAACCTTAGACTATGCATCAAGAACTTTAGTGTGAACATTCCCAAAAATATTATAGTTCCAATCCCTCAAATGCAAAGCAACCTTTTTATGAAGTTGTCATAAAATGAACCAAGGATTTCCCACATTATCAGTGAGAGTATTTTAGAAAGTGTCATGGGAAGCCCAAATATTAAAGAACTTAAATTTATATATGTGAGAGTATTTTAGAAATGCAAGTGTAAGTAAGATAGAGCTATGGTCAGAAGCAGCAGAGTTCAAGTGTTGGACTTTATATATGGGGAAATAATTGAAAAAATTTTGATTAGCAAAAAAGCAATCCAATCTTTGAGATAAAAGGTCGCGACGCCAAGTGTAAGGGGAGCCAGAGTAACCCATATCATGCAACCCAGCATCCGTGATCTTATCACAAAACCGATTTATGAGGGATTGGTTGCATCCCCTGCCACCCCTCTTCTCAGAGGGTCTCATTATCATATTAAAATCGTCTCCAACAAACAAGTTCTCATTAATCTCCTCACCCATCCTTAATCCCCTCACCCATAAGCACAAGCTTATCCCAAAGAAGCAATTTATCAGGTAAAAGGCAGCTAGAGTGAACAAAAGTGGCCCACCCTTGAAAGCTATCCATCTTGAAATTAGTAAGCACAAACTGATTGTCATCCTCAACAATCATCAAATTGACTTTAGGCTTCCAGAAGATCCAGATTTTATTATTTTTGTTATAATAGTGATTGTAATTAGAGAATTTACTAAAAATTTTATCTCGATTCACAGAAACTAATGGCTCCAATATAACAAAAATAAAAAGTTTATGAACCCTGCATAAACATTTGAGTCTATTAAGGGAGCTAGGGCTCGCCACTCCCCTAATATTCCAAACCAAAATATTAAACATGGTGTCTCAAGCTTCCACTTCTAAAGGATCTAGGAGGGGTGCTAAATTGTTCGCCATCAGAATGATACATTCTACCACAAATAATGTTTTCACTATCAAGATACAAGAGTTCATTCTTCCTTTTGCCCTTCTTTTTCCTAGCCTTTTGAAACAACCATTCTTCCTCTAGCTTATTTGTGGCTTCCAAAATAGCCTCAATAGGCATTTCATTATCATCCACAGAAAATAAGCAAACATTACCTGCTTTACCTTCAGAAGAAGAAACCTCACTTAATCTATTGACCTACATATCCTTAAAATTACTCCCATTTATGAGAATAACATCAGTTTTGGCAACAGAAGTAACATCATTAACAATATTGGCACAAGTGATGGCATCTGTATCATTACCCAAAATGACATCAGTTACTGTTAAAGGAGCAATGTTAATAGTAATACCCAAAGCAACATCAGTGGCCGTCAAAGGAGCAACCTAATCAGTAGTGGTAATAACAATGTCACTAATGAAAACATTAGTGTTAACCTCAGTGGCAAAAACATCATGTAGAGAAATCTTGGGGACATTAGTCTCACTATTAGCATTAACAAAAGTGTTACTGGTACCCTATGTAGCAGGCGGCGGTAAAATCTGTGTATTCATGTCAGAATGGAGAGTGGAAGGATTTTTAGAAATTTCAGTCCTAAGGTGTTCAGTATTCGACTGTGGAGCATTACAAGATCGTTCAACGCTTTGTTTTAAATGTGGATATAAAAGATTAAAATTAGCATTAATATGTGCAGTAAGGTGAGTATCTTTCGATCTCAACTTTCTACCAGTAGCCCTTATGTTCGGAACCAATCCAGATTTCATCAGAGAAAGGTAAAGTGACGTCCCGTTCTACTAAAACTCTAGCCTCAGAAGGCCTCGTAAGCAAGTAAGAGGGACCATCCAATTTTAAAGGTGTGTCATATGCCACAGCTAAGGAAAACAAGACCTCGTGATTAAAAATATGAAGTTTTAAGCCAGGGAATTTCAACCAAGCCAGCATAATAGGAGGTTCCGAGTTAGGGTCAAATTCAATATTCCATTTCAAAATTTTCATAGAAATACCATCAAATTTAAGAACTCGATGTGAAAATAAAAGAGTATAATCTTCGTCATTTGATAACTGGATAAGTATGTGTCCCCCATCAAGAGGGCCAAATTTCTACATTCCAGTTAGATTCAAAGATTCAAACTCCTTTCTAACAACCTCAAATTTAGGTAATCCAAAGACAAATTTCTCAACTAATACATGACTACAAGATGAAGCTAGAGCTATAGATTCAGCATTAGATATAAACATAGCCAATTTCCCATCTTTTTCTCCTAATTTTTGGATATAATTAAAATCACCACCAAAATGTAAAGCCTGAAGATACGAACGTGGGAAAAGACCCGAGGAACTAGAAACAGAGCCACCATTACCTTTAAGAGCATCCGCAAAGGAACGATCCATAAATATCAAGAATCGCAGAAAAAATCTCGCAAGAAGACCCCAAAAAGAACGCCAAAAGGAAGAAAAAGGGGGGATCTCACCAACGTAAAGAGAAGAGGTAGCCTTGGAGAGGACACCCGAGAGCCCCGCCGTCGAATAAGCCTCAGTCGGAATCGCCTAACCCTAGCAAATATATATATATATATAGGGTTTAGGGTTTAGGGTTTATATATAGGTATGGGTTAGTCGGAATTTAGGGTTTAGGGTTAGTCGGAATCGCCTAACCCTAAATATATATATATATGTATACGTATATGTATACGTATACGTATACGTATACGTATACATCTACATATGTACACACACATATATTTAGGGTTAGGCGATTCCGACTAACCCTAAACCCTAAATTCCGACTAACCCATACCTATATATAAACCCTAAACCCTAAACCCTATATATATATATATATTTGCTAGGGTTAGGCGATTCCGACTGAGGCTTATTCGACGGCGGGGCTCTCGGGTGTCCTCTCCAAGGCTACCTCTTCTCTTTACGTTGGTGAGATCCCCCCTTTTTCTTCCTTTTTGGCAATTTTTTCTGCGATTCTTGATATTTATGGATCGTTCCTTTGCGG